ATGCAGCACTCTAGAAAGCCCCAGTGAAAACCTTTCGGGTACTGGTGTGAACAGTCTTTCCCATTTCAATAAACGAAGGCATCCTATCAAAGAGGTCTGAGATGCAAGAATAAAAACCAGTACCGTCTCTGAACGCTGCATACTACTTATTTTAAATAGGGATTCAACTGTTTAAAACAGAAGGGCTCACAGTTTTACATTTCTTAAGATGTTACACCACTGTGTAATTTACAAAAACTCATTCAATGGCAGAAGAGCTCTGGATTCAGACAACTGAAGCATGTACCTTGGCAAAGAGGGTAAGAGTGTGGGCAATAAAGGTCTTCCATCTCTTGTAGAACTACCAGAGACAATGGGCATAGGATGGCAAGAAAAGACTAAGATCTAAAGTCCTAAACAGGGCTTCCAAAGCCAGAGGCACTTGCCAAGAAAGCAAAGAGCAAATTCCACCCCCGCTGGCTGGCAGGCCCACTCACTCTGCTTACCCTGTGAAACAGCCAGCTCATGCTCTCCCCACCCCCAGGCTCAGCTATGATATTTGGGGTAGAGAGAGAATAGCAACACTGGTGACTTTTATAGGGGCCTGCTTTATAAAAATAGAGCCTCCAATTTTAGGACTAAAATCAAAAAGAAAAATAGCCAGAATTAGAAGTTTGTTTTAACACAATACATTGAAAATTACAAGTTTAAGTGCTGGTAGCTGGGGATGGGGATCACACCACCACATGACTTCTCAGTGAGTCATAAAAAATAGTACAGGCTTGTTAACAGTGGATATCCACCAACGCCAGGCTTAAGGAGTCCACTGTGTCAGGTGATGGAAAACCAAACTGACACCCCTTCCGCATTAGTTTCAGCAGCGGCAGGATTGACACAAATGAACTCCAGTAGCAACTACAACAGAGAGCATTAATAGACCTTTCGGAGGCTGGTCAGACAGAATGTTGATTATGCGACTCATTTTTTAGAAGTTAAATCAGTTAAAAGAAGAGAGAGAAAAACCTTCTAAACTATTAATAAATCACTAAAATATTTCTGAATTTCTAATGCCCATTCTTGATTAACACACCCTTGTGTCAAAGCAAAAGCCAAATGCAGGTATTTAAGAGCAAGGTGCTACCCTTTAGTTATGAGAATCATTCTGGTGGAATTAGATGAGAACAACAAAATTCACCTTCAGGCCTAGATGGATACTGTCATGATAATAAAGACCTCCCGAAAGGGCTTGTGGGTACCAAATTACATAACAAATTCATTTGTGCCAGGCAACCAGGATTAACTCCTATTCACCCAGGTTTCAACTCAATACTGCCAATGGGCTTATCAAAATGGAAGAGTCATTATCCACCACTGCTTAGCAAAAAGCACAGTCATCTTTCTCACTACAAATCGGTTTGCTGACATTAACTGCTCACTGCAAGAAGTCAAACTTAAAACAATCTTAAAAAACTGATGCTGTTTTCTTCCTGGCCAAAAAAAATGTTTTTAAGAACCAGAAAAGAAAATGCTTCATTACTTTCTCCCTCAGTAAGTTTTTCTGACTGAATTTTTAAGTGTGCAATGATATTTTTTTAATAAAACACTTTATTCTATTATATATTTAAGGTTTAAATGAATGACAATAATATTTATTCGTAAGGAACACAAACATTCATGAGTCACAAGTAAACAAATATAACAAGGGAATAAAAGAAACAGGACATTACTGCAAGCTCCAAGAAGGGAGGAGTGTAAGGCAATGTGAAGAAACACCTAAGAAACACTTTCTAAAGAATCAAATGAAAAATAACCACCTACCATGTACCTACTGCACTGCACAAATCTTACATGCACATTATACATCCCTTTTTTTCCTATCACTGAGCTACAACCCAGCCCATGGTATGTGTGTGTATGTGTGTGTGTGTGTGCACGTGTGCGTGTGTGTGTGTATACATAGACACACATATGCTTTTGAGAGACACAGTCTCACTAAATAGCTGAGGCTGAGGCTGGCCTTGAACTTGCAATTCTCCTGCCTCACACCCCCAAACTGCTGGGATTATAGGTGTGCACCACTACAACAGATTACTCATCATTTTACATAATAATATCCACAAATACTTCCCCAAGGTTTACTATGTACCAAACTATATTTTAAAAGCATTTTTGCACATACTAACTAATACAACAACCCAATAATCCACACAAAGTCCCCAGAGGGTAGATGTTATTTTCACCATTTTATAGATGAGAAAATTGAGGCATTAAGTGCGAATAATTTGCCTAAGGCGACATTGCTAAAAAGTGGCAAAGCTAAAATCTAACCCCACGTTCTACTCTTTCTTTTAAGGAAAATGCTTTCAAAGACACTTTTTTAAATGCAGGTTTTTAAACTGCCTCTTTCACAAAAAGCACACCACCGTAGGAAGGCATTCTGTATGTTTTGGTGCTCCATATCTTTTAGTTACTCAGAATGAGAGCTTGAACTAGACCAGCAGCTTTCAAACTGCAGCTACAACCTTCAGTGAGAAATACATTCTACATCCTGACTTAATACACCCATGTAAACACATGCATGACCTAATGAAGTTTCACACAATAATATTTACCCTCCTGTGATGCACTCTGATTTATCATATTTCTTTTACATTTCATTTTTAAACTGGTTGGTATGACCCTCCAGTGACATACATGCATAGAATGAAAATCTCAAGACCAAATTTGAAGGTTTCCTCCAACCTCTTATGTGCCAGACACAATGCTGGACATTTTCCAGTCATGATAGCATTTAATCTCCACAGCTACCCTGGGAGGATGGTACTACTGTTATCTCTGTTTTACAGATGAGGAAATGAGCTCGGAAATAAAGCAGCTTACACAAGTCCCTACTCTATGACAGAGTCAAGGGAGCTCAGCAAACACTCCATCGGCTCCCCAGTTTCCAAGTGTCCTTTCATTTACATGGGGAAATGTGTCTATTTCTGGCCAATGGGCTGTAGGCAGAAATGACTCAGTGACTGCAGGCAGATGTGATATTATTTTGAGGCCCAGGCACAGATTTGTCACATGACATCTCACCCATCTTTCCCCCTTAGTGAGCTGAGCCAGTGACCCAAACTATAAAAACGGTACCATATGAGACAGTAGAGCCTTCCTACGTCAGCCTGGGTTCCTGTGTGGTTGTATGGAGCAGAGCACTGCTCTGTCTACTGAGCCAAATGGAACAAATGAGTTTTTATCAGAATAAGCCAGGTTTTTAAGTTCTAACTCCTGAGTATCTATCCTTCCCCAATCTACAGTGACTTAGTTCAGGCCTCTGCTGTCTTTATTGTAATACCTTCACAAAAGGTTTAACTACTTCCAATCTCTCCACACTGCCACTGTAGTAAACACACACACACATGGGCATGCCATGTCCCTACTCAAAATAAATTCCCCTTCATCTCCCTGTTCTCTAGTCTTGGTCCTTCGAGTCTAACTCAGATTTTCTTCCTACAGGACTCCTTCCTGCTGACCAAGTGTCTCTATGCCTCTCAGCACCTTCTTTTATACAACTGATTTTTTTATAGTATTGATTTTACAACCTTAATTGTTCTTGTTTCTGATGTTCCTAAAATACTATAAGGTCCTGAAGAACAAGAGGCGTTCCAATTTGTTGGAATGAAGAGCTGGCAGCATATAAATACATTTCTTCTTTCAAAAACACTACATATTTAAATCCTGGGGTCAAACTATGCACGCTTCTCTACGAAGATCCTATGTAATCCTGAGAGGATTACATTTTGGAGGCCAAAATTTTCTAGCTTATAAGACTGGTTTTGAGTTTCAGAAGTCCCCTATGAATGATTCACATTCCATCTAGGAAAGCTAGTCCCTCATTCATATACTTCTAACTGGAAAACCACAAAATCTGGCTCTTTTTAAGGAGAAAATATCTTTTTTATCTGTTTAGAAATCTTGAGCAATGTTAAAAGTGTGTTTCTAAAAATTTCTGCTCTTTTAAGCTGTTATGGCAATCGAAGCTCTTTTGCTTAAGCAGGTTTTGTCAGAAGTATTAATGCTGGAAAGCTTTAGAATTTTGTGTTGAGTGAATCAATTTCAGCACTATATGCAAATAAGAAAGGGGAGTGGCTTGGACCAAATTACTTACTGAGAACAAAAAAAAATCATTCCTTCCAAACAGGGGGAAAGGCAACTGGAAAGATTTTAACCTGTTGCATAACTTTTTATTAGCTCTTTTCGCTGGGTCAAGCAATAGTTGAGAACTATATACTTAGAAAAGCAAATGCTCTGATAGATTGAGCAATTTCAGTTCTTTGCCTAGGGAAGTTTTAAAGTTCGAATTAAAGATTAAATCTTCAATTAAGTGTTTCTTTTTTTTTTTTAAATTTGAATTTTCCAGGAAAGTTCAAGTTTCCAACATCCCCAAAACTCTTTATTTTAGAAGCAAAAAGATTCTAGATGAACTGAAAGTTTACTCTACCTTAAGAAGATCATGATAAGTGGTCCTGGAAACAGCCTGGAAAGGTACTGAACTCTACCACCATGTTTGTACAACCTTCCTCTGAATTATGTATCATCTTTTTAACTGAGTGGTTTCATATGCTTATACTTTTATGGAGATTATACTACCATGGAGATAATTATTTGTATGACTGGGAAGGAATCTTCTTCTTTCATGTGGCTCTCATCTCTAAAAACCCTACTGCTCAGCTGCCCACAAGAAAGCTTAACCAATACACATTGATCCAATGGCAGTTTCCCAAGGAGAGAAGGAAATAAATAACCCCACTTTAAGGGCTTTACAAAACCTAGTCTGTAGAGCAAGGGCAAATGTCACAAACCATGCCCATTCCCTTTCAAAATTCATCCAGACTCATCAATCATTGTACTAAGGGAATGGACTATTTCAGAAACCTGATATATATCTGCCCTGAGTAAGGTGGTCTTGTGAGTTTTACATCCAAGGAGAGAGGTAAACTGGTTACAATTCAAATAAAATTGCTGCATATGCATACCATGAAGTAGATCTTTCTGGGAATGAAGATTTTTAATCCGGCAAAACAGCCTTAAAACCTGAAGTGGTGTCCCACGCTGGTAATCCCGGAAGCTATTCCCGAGGCTGAGGGAAGAGGATGGCAAGTATGAGACCAGTCCCAACTTAGCAAGGCCATTTAGAGAGACCTTATCTCAAAAAAATTTTTTAAAAAAAGGAATAGTTTGGGATATAGCTCAGTGGTGCAGTTCTTACCAAGCATGCATAAGGCCTGGTGTGTGTGTGTATGTACATGTGTGTATATATACATATATATATGAATGTATATGACCTTAGGTAAAAGACTTCCCCAATGTACCAGTAACACAAGTCACAGCCGTTCTCAGAAGACAGTGTGAATGAAAAAAAAAAAAAATCAAAATTATATAAGGATTTGAAGCATGGAACACTAAATCCCACCTCAGCTGGGGAACATAAGAGGAGTTTCTCATTAGGAAATCATACAGAGGACTGGGGGTGAAACTCAGTGGTAGAGCACCTTCCTAGCATGCTCAAGGCCCTGGGTTCCATCCTCAGCTCTGTTAAAAAAAAAAAAAAAAAAAAAGAAAGAAAAAAGAAGAAATCTTATATATCTTATATTACACAAATGAAGTAGAAGATAAACTTCATGCTACATCATTATCACCATTTCCTCAATATTAAACTAATCCTGTAACATATGGCACAGAAAGGAAACAGACTTGAAAACATCTTTATAGCAATTTTCAAAAATTATCATTTGAAACATTAAACAATTTATAACAGGGAGCAATAATAAATCCATGGTCCTTTATGCCGAGTAAATTTGGAATAAGATCACTTGAAAAACATATACCAACCACCAAATGTATGTAGATGATTAGAGATGACAGTGGTAAGATACACAGAAAATATACAGGAACGATAGATAAAAAAGGCTTTAAAAAGCAGAAAAAATCAAGAAACACAGACTACATCTGGAAGCAGCTTTCCCAACCTCTATTGCTCAATAGAGATTCCAGTTTTATTCTGGGGTTTTACTGAAAAAAGCACCTCCCACAATAGATGGTATCATTTTCACCACTACTAGTTTGCCTTCAAGACCTCCTCACTGCGTTAAATCATGAGCAACAGGAAAGAAAGTGAAACAAGATTTTTAAAAATTGTCTGCCTCAGTGTTTAACTTCATTTTAAGGCACATGTCACACTGTCCTTCTAAAACAGTTACCAGCAGTAAGTAATGTACAGGATGGCTCTTGAGATGAGGCAGAGCTTTCAGAGCCTTGAATCCGTGCCCTGGCTTGTGTGCAAGAGAAGCAGTCAAGGGTTTTTCTTCTTCTTCCCTAACAGAGCAAGTCAGACCCTAACTTCTACCATAGAAGTCCCAACATCAAAGAGTGAATGGAACTAAAGATCAATCCAGGTAGCAGAGAAACTGCTAACAGTGAAGGATACAATATTATTCATTTTTTATTGTTTTAAAAAAAGGGGGTCACAGGCTGGGGATGTCACTCAGTGGTAGAATTCTTGCATAGCATACACAAGGCCCAGTTTTGATGCCCAGTACTATACAACAGAAAAAAAAAAGGCAGCGCTATTAATGTTTATGACATTTTAAATTCTATATAACCTATGAATATTTTTTCTATGAAAATAAAAATCTGTTAAGTTGCTTGAGTTAGAAAAGTCTATAAGCCCACTCAAATTTGGACCTGCTGGACTGTGGCCATCACCACAAAGATTTAACATTAAGATCTGGCACTGCACTAGAATTAATGAGTCTTTAAATTTACAAACTTCAGCCATTCCTTACCACCTTTATGATTTACATGTCCATTTTCCATCTCAACTACTGTTCATGAGATTTTTTTTTTAAGCTTAAAAAAATTCTATCTACTTTAGCATTATTCTAAGCCTAAATATCCAGGTGGACACATGTGTCATATTCTAGTTATGTTTTAATATGTTTTAATACATATTAAAAACTAGAATAAATTAAAAGTAATCATCACATACCACCAAAAGTCATCTTGTATACTGTCAGTGACACAAAAATACACACCCTTGAGTGCTCATAAGAGCAGCTCATATACTGTAAGTGTAACCAAAGCCATAGAGTAACCAAAGCCACACTTCAAGAAATTTAGTCATTTGTCACAGTTAAAGGCTGGGTGCAATGGCACAAGCCTGTAATCCCAGAGGCTTCGGAGGCTGACGCAAGAGGATCACAAGTTCAAAGCCAGCCTCAGCAAAAAGCGAGGTGCTAAGCAACTCAGTGAGACCCTGTCTCTAAATAAAGTTCAAAACAGGACTGGGGACATGGCTCAGTGGTCGAGTGCCCCTGAGTTCAATCCCTGGTACCCTTTCCCCCCAAAAATCAGTTAATGAAACAAATTCAAAGAGGGGATATGACCTGCCAAAAGTCACACAGCAAATAATGGCAGAGTCCAGGCTAGACTCAAGGACTGCCCAGTGGTGGTTCTACTTAAGTACTCTCCAGAGTACTTAACTGAGCTAACCAAGTTAGAGATCAGGCCTCAGTAGAGTTCACCAACAAGTGAGACTGGTCAGTGAGCCCTCTGCGTGTGGATGTGGGCTTTTCACTTCTCCTAAGAAGCAAATTCATAACATGGCACTTACCAGCTGACTCTCTTGTCAAAGATTATCTGGACCTGCTAAAAGAAAACCTTGTTTCCTTCCAAAGTCTCATGTGGTTTTGCCCAACTCATTGAACTTTAAGGCGTATGGCCAAAGATTAAAATGTCTCCTGGATCAGTTTCCCAATTTTTGATTCAACAGTATCCTGACCCCTTGTCCCATTGTTAGACTCATGCAGGCTCTATAGGGTTTCAAGAGGAAGATTTTCCATCTCTGGGTTTTAGGCCAGCTTTGGAAACAGGCTGGAAGTTTCCATTACAGAATCACTCATGTATTTCCCAGATACCCAAAGGGCAGGTTTTATTTTCAAGCGATAGATAACTTGTATCTACTGCATGCCTAGCAATGTTTTATACACTGCCCCATACTTTGACAATAGGAAGAAGTAAAATGACATAGTTCCTAGCCTCTTGAAAGCTGCCAATCCAGGTAAGCTTAGCTATGTATGCCATGCAGCTAACAATAACTAATATTATTAAATGTTTATCTATGTGCAAAGGCCCTATGCCATGTCCTTCAAATGCATTATCTTATTGAATCTTCACACTTATTTCCAGAGATTACTGTCAATGTACACATGATAGAACTGAGGCCTCGTGATACATGGCTCATTCAAGTTCAAATTGCAAGTAGGTGCTGAAGTTCAGACTCAAACCCGGATTGACTCTAGACCTAATCTCTCCACCAATGCACTATATATACCTACACTGTTTTAAAATCATATTAAAAGGTAATGTGATATCTGTATATCTAATTTCTCATTATCTTTTTTCTTCTATTAGGGAGGTCTAGAATTGCACCAGCGTACTGTGAAGTTTTAAGAATATAGCACATTCTGGGAATGCGACCTCCCCGCAATCCTCTACTCCAATGCTGGGGATGGAACCCAGGCATATGCTAGGAAAGTACTCTGCCACTGAGGTACATCTCCAATCCTAGGAATGCCATTTATATTGAGGGAAGTTCACTTCCTGTAACCTGAGTTATTCAACTGTTTGCAGCACCCTGGATAACAAAAAATACCATCAAATAATAATGCACATTGCTAAGTGTCATCTAAATTAACTGTAGGTAGCCTTATTCCATTACAAAACTGGAGGAAAATGTGGTATAATAAAAAATATGTTCTGTCTTTGTCCCTCATTCCTGGCTCCTGCCAACTCCTAAAACTCTTGGAATTTCCTGACTGATGTGTCTTTTATCATTTAAGAAACACATTTTGGACACACCACAGAAAAACAGGTCCACATTAAAGCCAACTTCACTGATGCTTAGAAGCCACTTCCCAGGCTTGATCTAATCATGAAATCTTCATGTGTCACCAATTCAGAGCACTGCTGAATTTGGCATTAGTAAGAAATCACACTCTTTAGGCAGATTCACATGCACCTCAGTAGAATACAACATGATACCAGGCATGGTTTTGCATGACTGTGAAAGTACCTACTCGGGAGGGTGAGGAAGAGGATCATAAGTTCAAGGTCAGCAGTGTGGACAACAGTGAGAGCCTGTCTCAAAATAAAATAATAATAATAATAGGGCTGGAGGAAAAAAGTGGAAAAAAAGAGGAAAAAAAGAGGCCCCTCTGGGGATGCAGCTTAGTGACAGAGCTTGAGTAAAGTCTTATATCCAATCCCCAGTACCACCAAAATTAAAAAAAAAAAAAAAAATTAAATTAAATCTTTAAAAATGCAGACATGGTATTTTTAAAAATTTTTGAATTTTAAAAATGCAGACAAGTTTTACAGTGATTTATTGCACATTTACTCTAGTTTCAGGAGAGAGTAATCATGTACTACCTCAAGAGCTTACCTGTTCACACTGAACTGCAGACATTGTTATGTGACAACAGTCACTATCTATTGTTCTCTTCCTTACGCACACTTTTTTTTTTTTTTGAGAGAGAGAGAGAGAGAGAGAGGAGGGAAAGAATTTTTATTATTTATTTTTTAGTTTTTGGCGGACACAACATCTTTGTTTGTATGTGGTGCTGAGGACTGAACCCGGGCCACACGCATGCCAGGCGAGCGCGCTACCGCTTGAGCCACATCCCCAGCCCTACGCACACACTCTTAACCCAAACCTTAACAGATCATTATATTTTCCATCTTACTTACCAACTTCTGATTTGTGAATATAAAGTCGTAAGTGACATAAATCTAAAAGAGAAAGCCAGCACTCCATAAGCAGACCATCACAAAAAAACAGGGAGTCTTTAAGACCAAGCTAGTCAAACCAACCACTACATCCCTGCACTCCTCTCTCTGCAGCAGAAATATACTTTCCAATTGGGGGACAGAGGACTTGTGGTCAGGGCCCTGATCGGGGCCAGTATATTGCATAACTCCACAGGTCCCTGTCCCCCTCCTAGTAAATGGTATTCCCTGAGTTGGGCAATCATGTGGGACTGTATCTTTCCTACCCACTGTCCCCTCAGTAAGTGCCATTTA